TATTTTTTGAATTTTAATAATTATGTAGGTAACAGTTTAACAGGAAAAAAACCGAAGAAAAAATAATTATCATTCAATTTCAAGAAGGAACCTTGTCCGCTGAAGGGCGGTAACCATCTGGAGTCTCCGGATTGACGTCCGCTAGGACCGGAATTAATGCCATATGGTGCCGGTCTACCACCCGAATTGAAATTATTGCGCACTGGGCCTCCGCCGTAACCCTGTTGATAACCACCACCGAAGTTATCATTGCTCCAATTACCGCCGCTGTTGTAGCCGCCCTGTCCACCTTGGTTCCATCCACCCCCTTTAAAATACAGCAATTAGCACCTTTTTTACATCTCCATTATTCGAAATAATAAAATACTGTTATGCTATTCCACTCTGAGGCAGAGACAATGCTTTTTTTTTATTGTTAGTATAATAACATTTCAATTATCAAATACTTTATAATATTATATAACATTGATATAGAAATAATTTTGTTATTGTATTAATTTTTGTTCGTGTTTTATGAATCTTGTTTCAAGTTTATTCTATGCTTAATTCAGTAACTTTTTATCATGTACAACGTTATTCTTTAGAATACAAAGTCTCTGCGCTGCAAATTACTTGACCCTGGCATATCTTAAAAAATTATTAATTTAATAATTTAAAGCATATTACGTACTAAGAAAAAAAAAGATCAAATAAACTCTTTAAATCCACTCACATATTTATACCCTTTTTCTTTACACATTGAAGCCAATTCTCAAATTTGATATTATTATATACAATATGACATTATTAATGCAAGGGTCAACTCAGTTCTAAAATAAGAAGACAAATATCTTCCAGCAAACCTTTACCTTGATTCTGATTCTCCCAAGGTCCATTACCTCCCCAACCTCCTTGATTACCTCCACCGTATCCACCCTGATTACTGCCATTGTTCCAGTCACCACCACCGCCACCGCTGCCGCGTCCTCCCCAACTACCACCGCCTTGGTTACCACCACGGGGTCCTCTGCCTACACCTTGGCCACCACGGCTGCCGCCGCCACCGCCACCGCCACCTCCAGAAGCAGATGCCATTTCCGCTCTGCTTAGAGCCTGTAATAAAAATATGAATTATTCAGCTGATTCAATCAGATTTATAGAAAACGAAGAAATAAACTGTGTAAAATATTTTATATCATACTGTATGCGAAAACATTAAAATAAAATATTAAATTTGAAATATTTTATAAAGATGTGTGTATGTCTCTCTCTCTCTCTCTGTGTGTGTGTGTGTGCGTGCGCATGTGTGTGTGTGTGTGTGCGTGCGCATGTGTGTGTGTGTGTGCGTGCGTGCGCATGTGTATGTTATAAAGACAATTTGTAAAAACATGTAAAATATTGGAAAAAACACTAAAAAGAATAAAATATCAAATTTGTCTTTTTGAAATTCTTATGCAATCTGTATAGTATTCTTAAATAATGAATAACTTTGAAGATATATTTTTTTCACCTTTTTGACGTCAACATGCTTGCCGCGAATCTGATGATTACGCTGTAGACAGATCTTGTCGACAGGATCATAGTCATCAAATTCGACAAAGCCGAATCCGCGTTTCTTGCCAGTCTCCTTATCAGTCACTATACTGATCGAGTTTATGCTACCGTAGCTCTGAAAATACTGTCTGAGATCTTCTTCTTCATGATCATCCTTTAAACCACCAACAAAGAGTTTTTTTACAGTAGCTCCAGCTTCTGGTCGACCTATTTCTTGCCTAGGGACTGCTCTCTTGGGCTCAACCACTCTACCGTCTACTCTATGAGGCCTATAAAAATTTTTTAATTTCTTATATAAACTCACTTTCCTATAACTAATAAGAAATAAAGCCCTATTGTTACCCACTTTTTTTAGACAAAATAAATAAAAGAATTAATTTATGCAAAAAAACAAATTATATAAATTTATAGAAGCAAGCATCTTTTTACAATCTTGTGCGAATCCTTTTTTTTTTTACCTAGCATTCTGAGCATCATCCACCATATGAGCACGAGAATAAGTGATGAAACCGAAACCTCTTGAACGTTTAGTTTTAGGATCTTTCATAACCACCACATCTACGATCTCTCCCCATTGCTCAAAGTGCTTCTTAAGTGAATCATCCGTTGTTCTATAATCCAACCCGCCAATAAACAATTTTCTAACATGTTCTGGCTCATTTTTACCATCCTGAAATATTAAACAATGTTCTAAATTATCATTGAAATTCCTTAATCACAAAATAATTACATATAGCTTTGCCTATAAGTACAATATAAAGCATCTTCAATTTGTTCTTTCAAAAGAGTACTGGCAGCAATAAAAGTTAAAGAAGAAAAATTAACAAGACATTAAAATTGTTATAAAAATGAATATTTATTTTTCGTTAAATATATAAAACATTTATATCAATTTTGTATTTGTGACATATTGTTTTATATGCTTTATATTTCGTGTGTAAATGTGTGTGTATATACATATATATATATTGGGTCATCTAAAAAGTATCCGCGGTACTTTGTCACTAGATATATGACCATCAACACACATCTAGTGACAAAAAACCATGGATACTTTTTAGATGACCCAATATATATAAACATATATGTGATTTATACATGTAGATCAATTGAAGAATTATGGACAAGATCAAACATAAAAATATTTTATAACAGTTAAAGTAATTTTTTTTTTTACTGAATAGTCATTAATGAAATGAAGCTTGCAGCGCATCCAAATACAGTAATAATAATAAAGCAATCATTCTTTTTTTTGTAATTTCCTATTTACTTTATATTTGGATTCAACATATTTATCCAAGATACATATTATGGAATTATTTAAAATAGATTCCGAGCAAAATTCATTACAAATAATTCCATAATATGCTCTCAGATTTGCTCTTAGTCTCATTTCTATCAACAACCAGATCAACTTCAATCTTGATTATTTACTCTTCATTTTTTTCTAATCTGTAACTAAAAAAAAAAGATAAAAAGAAAATCGCTCTTGTGATACCTTCTTCCTTTTTATCTTTAATTTTGGGCTTTGTTCTCAATGAGATTCACTTGGCCAGTCTACAAATCGAAACGTAGTAAAGCAAATTCAAAAATTGAAATGCAATGCACCAGCCATCTCAAAAATCAAACCGGCAGATAAAACAAAGACAATGCAATCGAAGTAAAAATGAAATGCGCTCCTCAGATACTGGGCGCGCATTACGATTACGTTTCGATGCATTTAGACGAATGAAGGGACAATTGGTAATGAGATACAATTGTACGGTCGAAGCCGGCCACACTTTTCAAAAATGTAATTGAGGTGATGCAGCACACGAAGCGAGATGAGACACATGTCCAACCCGCTAGAGTGATCTCACGCTCACGAGAGACTCACCTCTTGTGATACCGTTGCAAACATCGGCATGGCCAACATTTTTCGACATTGTCGAAGTACCTTGGAATAATACTCGATAACACGAGTGTCGGGGGAATGACCGAAACGCTTCATACTGAACGACTAGCGATAAAGAATTGACTATAGCGAGATAGATACTCACATCATGATCCATCTTCACCATCTTGAGGGACTTAAATAGAATACAGAGTCCCGTGAAACTCGTAGAAGAGTAAACGTGAGTCGATAGCAAACGACGGAAAGAAGGACGCTATCACGACACGATCGATTTCTATTCCCTGCGCGCACTCATGTGAACCCCGGGCAAGTTGTCCAATATCCAATCATTTGCTCGATTCACACTGGATCCGACGTGCGTCGTACGGTGTTCTGCAACCAATCAGAAAGCAGAATTTTATTTTGTATCGATGGCTTAGTTTTCACCGAGGGTTTAAACCGGATCAGAATGTAAGAACCAACCAATTACAATCGAGTATTCCCCTGTTACAGTCGAATGACTGTAGTTGATTGGTTCTTACATTCTGATTCGGTTTAAACCCTCGGTGGAAACTAGGCCAGTGATTAAATTTTGGACTTCCATTCAAATATAACCGCGTAAAAGTAATGCACGAAAATGCCTATTAAAGCTGCTCTTTACAAGTCACTTGTTAATTTCCGACTTTGAGTGTATTCACATAATTTCGAAAAACAAAACTGGATGGGCACTTATCACTCAGTAGCGATTAAATCTAGAATTTCGAAATATAACCGTATACAAGTAATACACGGAAATGTATATGAAATCTGGAGATTATCTGTCAAGGATTTCCAATCATTATCATGCTTACAAATGTAGGAAAGTACAATGGATCGCCAGTTTGAACTCGCTGTCGAAAAAGGATCTTTTTTCGAATATAACCGTATATAAATAATACACAGAATTTGCATATAATACCAGATGTCTACTAGCACTGTACTTATATATACGTTTATATGTATCAGTTTCTGGAATTCCGTTTATTATTCGTTTTTAATTGAATACAAATTTCCATGCAATTAATCAATTTTTTATTGGAAAACCTATAATAACTCAACATTAATTTAAACATGAAAATACTTATCTATAAACCGGATGTTATTTCCTGATAAAAATCAATAAACTTTATGTCGTAAATTCCTTGCATGTCCTAGCATGTATTTGGAATTACGGATGCCAACAGACAACATTTTTATCTGAGAATCCAATACTATATGTACTATGAAATGGAAATGCTTATATAATCAGATTTAATATTTACTTGGATGAATTTTATGCCAATTAAAGACTGATTTGTCCATGTCTATCCTGATGTGAACGTATATACTTTTTATCTGGACATAACTGGAATTTTTAGCAGGGATTTTCAATTCGAGGAAACGATTTATCTCAGCTAGAAAAATATACTATCATCACACTATAAACCTGCAAAAAAAAAAGTTGAATGAAAGATAAGATTTACTTTTATCAACATTTTTACAGCTTTTATCATTCTTCGAACATAAACTGCTCTTACTAACGAATGACTAAAAATTGAAGTCATATAGTGTTCGATTGAGGAAGATCGTCACGTTCATTTTGTTCGATTTCTTGTGTATATAAGTGATAGATTTTACTGTTCGTATAATACGTATGTATTTTCTGATTAATAATTATTACATGTGTATACAATATTATTATGTATATACGTACAATAATTAAAGATATCTTATATATCTTGAAAAGGAAATAGCCAATATTAATGCGACATGGAGGAGCTGATAAATTTTACACACATATATGTAATAACTAAAACTATTTCTTCACATCACTTATTTATTCTATTCTATTAAAAAATAGGATTTTTTCAACTTTCCATTATATATATATATGATATATATATATATATATATAAAGAAAATGTGCAGATTCCATTTTGTAAAAGATGGTGGGAAGAAATGAGCTCCTTTTTTTCTCTACATAATTCTTTTTTGAAAAATATTCCCAAGATTTTTTGTTACTGGGTTATCGCGGATTAAATAAAAGAATTTTTACTTTAACTCTTCTCTGTTTCGTTAAAAATCATCTTACTGTAATAATTGAAAAAGATTCTTACTCTATATTGTAATTGCCAATTTTCTATAGACTTAATACAAATGAAATAGCGCGAATTTTTCGCTATGAACTTTTGTTCAGTTTGTTTAATATATTATATAAAGATGTCCATACAAGGATCTACTATTCTACCTAATCTCGTTTGGATTTATCCATTACTGGTTTGGCGGTGAATGTGATGATTTCAAAGATAACTATAGACGTTCGTACATGAGAGGGACCGTCTATTTGAAACGGAATGCTGTAGAGAAATGAAACGGTGCGATCGCAAAGAAGTGATTTCGTGAATATATATGTATTCGAACCTAAAGATGATCTGCTCTAGTCTATGTAGCTGGCCAATCTTCAATTCACTGGAATCGAAGTTCGTCACCCAGATTCATATGGTTTTTGTATATGGTAATTCGCCTTATTTCCTTCCTTTATGTATTCGTTTTGGCAATGTTTATCTTTCAACTTGAAACAGGTACATTGGGGAATGAGGCCTTAATCGTGATGAAGGACAAGATGGTGTATGGCCTAGGTAAAAACGTCAACGGTTGTTTGGGAATCGGGGACAAGGATGCCACATTAGAGCCACAAAAAGTAGAGGTTCTATGTGGAAAAGATATAAAGACGTTCGCATATGGCAATGGACCTCATGTTTTGGCGCTCACAAAAGAAGGAGAAGTAAGAAGTTGTTGGCAAGTTATATATTGAAGTAGTGAATGTTCAATTTTAGGTAACACTTTATTCCAATGTTCCAATGTCCTTTAGATATGTTTTGTAATTCCATTAAAAAAAAATAGAAGTGACCTTCATATCTTTTTGAGGCGCCTTTCACCTAGAAGAAAGATAATCTTGTGATCAAAACACATCTTGTTTGAAACCGTTCCACTTTCATTCGAAACATTTTTTCCTATCTCCAAAGCTGTGGGTGTTATTCGGGTGGCCAATCTTAAATGACTACCCTGAATATAGAAAGAAATTTAGATTATTTCTCTTCTTTATCGATGCATATAGCAATTTAGAATAATTGCCAGAAATTTTATGAAATCACGAAATTAAGTGATACATTTGCAAGATGTTATAATGAATAATAGCATTGTCTTCAAAAGGTATATTCTTGGGGTTTCAACAATCGTGGCCAACTTGCACAACGTGTGAATAAAAAGAGTAGTCTGCAAGTTATTAGTATACCTACTCTAGTGCAACTGCGCACTCCGGAAGGCAGCCTGGGCATGAAACGCATTATGAATATCGCGTGTGGCAGTAACCATTCTGTTGCTATAACCGAGGATGGCGAGGTAAGCAAATTGTTAAAGTTCGTTAACAATAACTCTCTGTTTCTACAAGCTAAGTAGTACCTGGTTTGATTTAGGTTTATATATGCGGAGATAACCGTTACAATCAACTGGGAAATGTATATTTTAACTCACCTGACAATGAGTATTTGTTCAGACCTCAATTAGTAAATGACAATTCAGATAGAAAGAAGATTGTCCATGTCTCTTGTGGCGGGGCATTCACCATGGCTATCACTACAAGTTATGAGGTGTATGGTTGGGGCAATAATTCTTTCGGTCAACTAGGGATAAGAGAAAATTGCGAGACAAAATACACGCCGCAGCGGGTCGATTTGAAGGAAGGCCTAGCCGTAGGTAATTTTCGTTTCGATAAAGCAGTAAAAAGACAAGGGGACTGGAATCAAGTGAAACAGAATCATTAAACAATCGTATTATTTCAGTGAAAGTGGTCTGTGGAATCGAGCACACGTTGGCACTCACAAACGAAAAGAAGATCTACGCTTGGGGCAGAAACGATGATGGCCAATTAGGGATCGGCAGCAAAGAGTTTACTTTCCGTAGACCAATCATGGTAAACTCATTTTATATTTATATTATAAAAAAACAAAGGTCAAGAAAAGAAAAGGAAAGGCCATTTCATCATCAGTAGTTGTATTATCAGATTAAACACGAAACGGAGATAAAATGGATTGACATCGCAGCTTTGAACTGCAGTAACATAAGCGTCGCCGTCAGTGAAGAAGGTCGTGTCTACGTATGGGGTAACTGCCATGGTGAAAAGATCATGACCCCAACTGTTACTCCATTCTCAAACATGCATGATGCAGTTGCGCGCTATGGGCCCAGTGTTATGCACGAACCACTGATTCTGTATGCGAACGGAGGACCGGGCATATTAGAATGTTTGAAAACTGCTTTCAACGATTCCGTATGTATATATTTTATTTCTCGTATCTGTTTGTTTTGTAAGCATCTTTTCGAAATGTTCAATATTGAGAACAGAAAAATGCAAGTGAAACAAATAGATCTAAAGTTTTTTTGGCTGAACTTCTTCTTTGCAATATTGCTACATTGTTATACTTAAAATAAAATTGAACAACTGATAAATTTTAAACAATACATATATGTAGTGGTTAAGATTTATCCTTTTTTATTCAATCTTGTTTTAAATATGATATTATTGTCTTGAATCTTTTTAAAAAAAAATTCCAAAAACTTTTTTATAGATGAAAAAAATACTGAAACGCTAAAGATGAAAACTTTGATTGGTAAAACTGCGTAATACAGATTATTCTCGAATAATTGTTAAATATAATAAATATTTTATGTATCAAGCTAATATTGTATACATTTGTCTTTATTAACTTTTTCTCTCTTTTAATGATGTAGTCAACGAGCGATCTCAAAATAGAAGTGGAGGGCCAAGATATCCATGTGCACAAAGCAGTTTTGAGAATCCGCTCTTTACATTTTAAAACTATGTTTCAACACAATTGGAAAGAAAACAACCAAAGGTAACAAAAGGTGTTATTTAAATTTAAAAATTTTCAAGTTTTGTTTATTTCATCGATATTTTTTTCGATAGTATTATCAAACCTGGTCAATTTTCCTACGTTGTCTACAAAGCCTTCTTGAAGTATTTATACACCGGTGTAATCGATTTACCTATAGAGAAGACATCAGGTAAGTCGACTACATTATGTGTGCGATCTTCGAGCTATTCTCATGATTGAAGCAACATTTTTTGTTACAGAACTTTTGGATCTAGCCGAAGAATACTGCGAGAGCAATCTTAAGCAGCACTGCATTCATATGATAAAGCAAGGAATTACTGTATCAAACGTCGCACACTTTTATGCAATTGCAGTGAAGTGTAACTTACTGGTAATCAAACATTATCACTATTAACGCTCATTAACATTTCATTAAAGTGTATGTTATCTATCAACGTACATACAATAATTGAATGCTGTTGTCGATTTTTTTAGGAGCTAGAAAAATTTTGTGTCAATTTTGCCATTAATCACACGTCAGCTGTGACGCAGACGGATGATGATTTCGCCGAACTGATCCAGAAAATGATGAAAACATTTATAATGAAGGCAGGCAAGGTTGATTTCAAAAAATAATCTCGTCTATATTTGCCTCAAAGGCGAACGCATCAATGAGGAACAGAAATTACTGATCTGACTGTTGCTACAGTTATATTTATGATATATTTTATAATTTCATATTCTGACCAAATATTCCGACATTTTGTTTATTGCATTTCGCTATTAGCATCCTTTAAATGATAAATAGATATGACTGCAATATGACTCCAGTTACGAATTGTTTCATGCGAGAGATTCTTTCATCGATTTTAGAGAATATAATCTTGTCATTTTTCAAAACCTGAAATTATCTCAGAAATCGCATAAAAAATATAAACACACCAAGAGAAATCTCGTGTTTACGAAGGCGCTGTTATCTGTGTAATGAGTTAATTAATAAGTTAATTCTATCGAACTGTTGTAAAATTTTCAATGATTTCGTTTTCTTTTTACCTGTGATATAGCGTATTGATACATATTTACCGTGATTCAATCACATCTGCTTTCCACCAATTTTCTTTATCAACTATGTTGTAAAATGTAAATAAGTATGTACAATGTGAAATAAATGTTCTAATATTTATCATAAAAGTGTCTTAAACATATTTAAAGACATTTTACTGTCAATGCTGTGTCATTATGCTGTCTTTATTTTTGTCGCTGTTCGATATTTTCTTAGGATACATTCATTAGAATATATAGTGTAGCTATAAGAACGGCGATATGAAGCAGTGAAGATAATTGTATTGATTTCCATGTAAGTGTTTATATTGAAGTACGCAGAATAGACTTTCATAGTTGAGCATCGATAAAAGTATACCGAGAAGAAAAAAATTTGAATTTCTACACTATTATCGACTATAACAATGTTGTCCAGGGCCCTTATTCTGTAACTTTCAATGATAGTTATAGTATCATTACATTGTCGTTGCGTGGGTTTTATACATGATAAAAAAGTTGCACAATAATTTAACAACGTCGACACTGTCTTTAGGAACTAAATTTTTTCAGTAGTACCTTCATTTTTTTGAAATTTTTCATGCCTATCCGCTTTGCTGTCTTGAATTCGCCCAATCTTTATTAGATTTGATAATATTTCATTCTATAATATAGCAATATTTATTAGATGTATTCAGTATTTACCTTCGCAAAATTTTTATATGTGATGTCTTTCTGTTTCATTCATAAAAATTACGACGATAAATTATTTATTGTGGATAAATAATATATATAAGGACAAAGGACATATTTTTTTTTATCAATATTCAATTGTCCAAAATTATTTGCGACTCAAGTAGGTTTTTACATGGGTTCGTGTGTGTGTGTGTGTGTGTGTGTGTGTGTGTGTGTGTGGCTATCGATTTCGCCACATTTCGCCAGGCCGTCGACTGATTTTGAATGCTGATTAATCAGAGGCCTTATTTCTTTTGCATTACACAACTTGATTTGGTAATTTTTTATTCAATCAATTTTTTTAAAAAAAGCACAAATTTGTTTCTCTTTCCTTTTAACTTAATTAAGTATATACATATATTAAGAATAGAGCAACAAAAAATTAATATCATACATATTTTTAATAATTTTTATAATCATAATCAACGAGCATTCGCAAAACAATACATTCAGAAAAGATCGGATACAATTACAGTACATTCCTATTATGGAATCTTGTGTGTACGTAAAATGTCTATATTTCATATATATATCAAAATCTTGTGTATGTGTGAACGTATATGTATTTTAGTCTACATATGTGTAATAAGAAAAGTCCACTGCTAGAAAAACTTGCTCAGTCATGCTGGAATCAAGGATAAAAAAAAGAATGTATTTAATTTTAATTCTCCTTAACGTGTGTATTGAAATCCATACTAATTATTAATCGCATCTACAAAACGTCTGTCCCACAATTAGAACATGGAAAGCATGTATTAATATAGTTTATATTACTGTTAATTCTCTCTTACATTCATGTGTAATATATTACAAATATACGCACATATACGCGCATGTATATAATATGTATAATAAACGTACGGTACATAAATATATACTTGTGTGTATATGCGCATAAATTCAGAATTGCATTAATAAATATAGCATAACATACTAATACCATAATATACTATATTTGTACATTGCATTAATTAGGGATTAATTCTTGGACATAAGCCTCGAATATATTTCCGGAAAACTCAATTTCCAACATAGTCGACGTGACATTGCAGAGAAATCTCACGATTCATAGCGAAGCAGTGATTCATAGATACGACGTGACAACGATCAGAATGACGGGTAAAAAGAGGAATTTTAAGCTACCGCGATGCATTGGTTTTGGTCACGTGGTTTCTGATATTTTCCTGGAGCGACTTTTCTTGTGTTTAGCTGATTCAGTTATTGCACCGTCGTTATCCGGTACAGATGATTCCTTGACCGATTTTCGACCACGGCCAACATTTCTTTCTTCGTTTTCCGAACCTAGCGATTCTCGATTCGACTTCCGGCGCTGACGCTGCGGTGGCTGATTTTGCGCTTCCATTATTTCGCGCAGATGTTTCCTCTTCGCATCCCAAAACATTTGTTGTCGCTCAACGATCTCGGAATATCTATCGAATAAAAACGATTAATGTTAATTTCTAGGATAATTCTAATAGTGATGAGTTCAATGGAAAAAAAAAGAAATGAAATTGCATGGAATCATTACTTGGAAATATCGAAAATCAATTAGAGTAGCAAGATACTTATTGATGGACATTGAATTTGACTGAATTTTTTTAGAAAAGTCAACGAAATATAGCAATTACCTCTTGCAGAAATCCCAGTTGAGTGGCTCTTTCAGTTTCCAACCTTTCCACGATTCATATGTTGCAAGCTCCGCAAAAATCTGATTAATTTCTTCTGATGGCAATTTGATGACGGACGAGATCGTTTTGCGATTGAGATATTGGTGTTCGGTATATAATAATAACTAAAAGAAATACAAAAACATTTTATATAATTAACTTTTCTTTTGTATATTTAAAGTTATAGTTAAGCTTCTTTCACTTTCTTGAGTAACTTTGTAAGCAACTTTGATCGCATAGATAATGTTTTAATAAAAATATAAAAAAATATTCACTCAATGGTTTTACAAAATTAAATATAGTAATAATTAAAATTGATATAAACAAAATAGTTGGAGTTTATTTTATTTTAGTGTAAAATTCGAAAATTCAGAAGCTAAGAGAAATAAAATTAGATTTCAGGACATAATTTTTTATTAATAAATTTTGAATACTCACAATATAATCACGTGCTCTGCACATGAATTCAGAAGTACTGTTTTGAGGAGAAAGGCTGTCTTTGGGATATATCAGTTCACTATTCACAATCCAGTTACCCTGCACCAACATAGCTACTTGTTGCAAATACTTGAGTATTGTTATCGCATCCTGCTCTGGCGATAGAATTTCGCATAACTTTGCAAAGGATATGATTCTCACTGGAAAAAAATAGATTTGTTTCTATCAAATTCCTATGTAATATAAAAATCTGCTTCATACAATAAATATTTATGCTAACACATAAAAAATTGACTCTTATGTTTTTGTAAATGTGTATCGTAAAAAACTAAAAAATTTGTTTTTTGAACAAAAATTTCAATGATATTGAATGATAATGATATTGATGATTTCAATGATATTTTATATTAAATATATATCTTCCTTTCTCTCTATCTCAAGTGTGATTTTCTCACCTTGTTTCATGATTTTCCTGATTTGATCTAGCAAAGGCAAAGTCAAAATGTGATGAAGATCTGTTTGATCCTCGGAAGTGGATTGCAAATAGCATTCATCAGGTAACTGGGGTACCAACAGACGCAGATAATTTATCTGATCCAAATCCAGATTATTTATCGATTCATCGGCCGACGGGCAGAACATCTCCATCCGTGTCGACTGTAAAAACAAACGAGATATTTCAATATGTAAAAAAAAATAATAATAACAGATTAAATGTATGCAAGAGTTTTTTTTTGCTGCATTTGAATACATCAATATATTAATTATATTTTCCTTAAAAAAAAAAAAAAAAAAAAAAAAAAAATTTAACTTCACGATTATATCAAGACAATTTACCTCAGCTTGCATATCGTAAACTGGTATGTAATTCGTATGCATCCAACGCTCCTCCTGGCTCTTTCTGTTGTGATGTTGGAAAGATCGCTCCTGCAGCTTCTTCAGGTTATCCGGCAGATGCCTAGCGAATGTTACCTTCACCGGAGTGGCGTTATCTTCTTCCTCGTCGTCGTCTGCATTTTAGCAAATGAATTTGTGAGTGTTTCTCGTTCGCTACCAAGCTCTGAAGGTTTAACACAGGCTATCTCGGTAAATGTATTCATATATAAGTCAACAAGGAAAAATCCTCTTTTACCTTCTCCAGTATTCTTCGTTCCATCCCTGGCATGCTTATCATTTTCATCAAGATAATCGCACTGCAGCTTCATATGCAACATTGATTTCAATGGCGTGATGTGTAACTCATCGTCCTGAAAAATTCCGACTGCGAAATTTGAGCAGTCCGATAACGTTCGTTCTGAAGTCAATACAACCTTATCCATCAGTCCACTAATAAGAAAAAAGTTTTTTTTGTAAATGTAAATTAAAGTTCTATCTCAAAAGCTTGCAATTCAAAATTTTGCAATTACTTATCAAACACTATTTCATCATTTTCTGTAGATTTTCCATCTGTTTTTAAAGCCAACTGTTTTCCCATGTAATAATCGTAAGAAAGTTTATCCGACGTATCCATCGCAAGTTCCATACGAATCTTCTGGTTTTCGGGTTTAACGAAAGTCTTCGAGAAGGTAGCATTGGGGTAATTATCTTTGACATATGCAGGATACTGAATAATAAATAATTTATCCGCCAAAGTCTTGGAAAGGTACACTGGTATCTATAAAACAATTTCTTTTATTGTTCTCATAGATGGAAAAGAAATGTTAGATGTACAAATAAATAATCCACTATTTTTTGTAAAATTTCATTTTAGACATGAAGGAAGGCAAGCCATAATATAAGTCATTTTTTACGTCCTGAAACACAACACGGTTATGTTTTGAGAATATATTATCAGCACTATTAGTAGTCATACTATCCTTGTTTCATATCCAACAAACACTGAAGATAGAATGACATAATAGAAATGACAAATAGAGGTAGTAGCGTCTCTCTGAACTCAACCTAAGTGCAGTAATAAACCTTAACTTTAAGCAATTAATCAATCATAGTTGATTATTCTTCTCCGAGGGGTTCACTAGCAGTTATAGTGTAAAAAACAAAAAGTACCTTTGATACGAATTACCTTTAAATTACTTCGGACTACTTAAGATTACCTAAACTTGGATCTATTAAATCAGTGCAAAAGTTCGTGCCAGATTTATTATTCAAACAGCTACTATTTTTGTTAAAAATAAAATAAAATTTAAATCTTACTCTATCTGATGGGAGAATTTAAGAATCTATGTTTTTAAATTATGATGGTTTTGATGGAGTTATGAATAAAGTCAAAATATTTATTTTATTTAATTTGCAACTCAGTGACAAAAAAATCTTAGATATTTTTTAAAAACGATTTTATAGGGAAAACTTTAAGCTTTTACATTAGAAATTCAAAAATTTTTACAATTTTTTTGGACATGCGACAGGCACACAAGTGAAGAAAAAAATTTCCTGTTATGTTTAACTCGTAGTTTTCTATATGTAAAAATTACAAAACATAATTCAACATAACATAAATTCAAAAAATATAGTAATCGAAAGTAGATATTTCAAGCTTTAAAACCTTTTTTTAAATTTAAATTTCGTTATTTTTAACAAAATAGCAATTGTTTGAACTTTGAGTAATAAATCGAGTACGAACTTTTGCACTGACCTAATATAATAGGTTTTTAAGCCTTAAACCATAAGAAATCGACGAACCATAATCGATTATTTTTTTTCTTCTCTTCGCATTCGATTGTACTTAATTGACCAATTTTTTATGACTTAAAGCTTAAAACATCTATTGTAGATCCAGGTTATAATATATCTCATATTACCTTAGAGTATTTAAAATTACATCATATTTTCTGAGATTTTTCCAAATTTATTTTGCTCGTCTAAGATTACCTTATATGAGCACATAAAGTATTATTTCTTCAGATCACTCTAGAATATCTTTATAGACAACTATGATAAATATCTTTGAGAACATCGATTTTAGATTTTCACTGCTTAAGAAAAAAAAAACGCGATTTTACGAAACAAATATTTATTGCATATAGAAACAAAAAAATATAAAAATTTCGCAAACAGAATATGTATTATATGTATAGATACTAACAAGTTCAACTACACTCGTAATGTTTGAGATTTTTTCATACTAACGAAACAATTGAATATAAATATTAATGAGTATTTTATAAAATAAAAAAAATACCAATAGTAAAACAAACTCTTTGTCAAGTACTCTTTGTTTCCTCTTCCTTGTTTTTTACCTTTTGCTTTTTTCTCCTTTACAACCATTTTATCGACAATTGTATTTCTTGCTATACGTATTTCTTATTTCTTTCAAAGTTCGTTAACTTTTATCTCGGGCGATATAAAATAAAAAACTAGATAAGAAGTAAAAAGACAAAATGTAAAGGCTAATTCTACAAAGTGCTTTTTATTTTCTATTTCTTGCTGTTTGTCTCTTGTCTTGACCAAAAAGGTAAGAGACAAACAGAGACAAACAGCAAAAAACAGGAAACAAAGAGACACATTGTAGAATTAGCCAAAAAATAGCAAAAAGCAAGAAGCAGGAAACAAAAAGCAGGAAACAAAATTGTAGAACAGACTTTAAACCTATTAACTTGAGTGCACTGGTACAGTCTCCTGAATCAGACCATTATGAGTTTCACTCTTTCATGTAAAGAAAGAATAAAAATACTGAAAGTGACATACATCTATGACTGGTATAAATTATCTGCAAGATAGAGGCAAGTCAATTGAAAAACAGGGATTATTTTCATGATTGATGTATGTCGGTATGTTTCAACAGTAAATATTAAATGTAAAAAATAGTAATTATTTATTTGTACATTTAATGTAAACTGTAAAGCAAAAAATAATTTGTATGTTTGTGCATAATAAAATCAGTTTTTGTACTTAGATTATTAAAAAAAAAATTACAGCAATTTTGAGCGAATTTGAAAATTTGTTGCCTTTGTAACACATACAATACGCGAGTTTAAAACGAAAGAAACAAAGATTATTGTACTAAATGTAAACAATAAATTTTAAACCACGTGTTCAAAAGCAAATCTAACCTAAAAAAAAATTCTTCACGTTAAACAATCTTATCAAGAGCAAGTAGAACTGAAAAAGTGAAATTAGAATATAGAACATTAACCTCTTTCACGACGGGATCGTCTTCTCTTTCCGTGGTGTCCATTGTCGTTTTTCATCGAAATAATTCTTCAACTTTTTATATTTTATGTTGTTACATGTGCACGGAACATCTTTCGAAATTTTTCGAATAAGTTAAATTGAAATTTACCTGCATAACATCCCAGACTAAATGAGACGAAGGACGAAAGGGGGATGAATTGATAATGGTAAAGTAGCAAGCATAGAACTGCGAACCACTTTCAAAAATCGGCGATAGACACAGTAGAGACATCTATCATGTTGAAAGTTGGCTTCTTTCACTCTTAGCGATCCGATTGGCATTAAGCCCAAAGACATAGAGATGCTTTGGAATTTTCGCATATTGTCATCGAAACGTTATGACTTAAACACAATGGCTGCATTCAGCGACTCGTTCTGGGAATCGATTCTGTATCTTGAAATAAGGTGAAAATTATAAAAGTGAGCGAATTTACTAATATACTAATAATTTCATTGGTCAACATCTAGTAAATTTGCTCACTTGTAATTTTCACCTTGTTTGAAGATACAGAATCGACCCTTAGGAGGTCAACAGTTGAGTGATCGCTCACTGTTATTAGTGTATTCTTTTAGATCACTCAATCACCATTTTAGATCTGAAAGAATATATCAATAGCAACGAGCGCTCACTCAACTGTTGATCCCCTAAGGGTCGATTCTGTATCTTCAAACAAGGTGAAAATTATAAGTGAGCAAATTTACTAGATGTGGACCAATGAAATTATTAGTATTGGGTCATCTAAAAAGTATCCGCGGTACTTTGTCACTAAATATATGACCATCAACACACATCTAGACAAAAAACCGCGGATACTTTTAGATGACCCAATATATTAGTAAATTCGCTCATTTTTATAATTTTCACCTTATTTCAAGATACAGAATCGATCCCCAGAACGACAACCGCTCACTGAGCGCTCAGTGAGCTCTTTATTCTGATTGGTCTATATTTTAGGATCTAGTGGAACATGCCAATCAGATGAAAGAACTCATTGAGAGCTGAGTGAGCGGTTATCATTCTGAATGTATTCATTAAAATCGTGTCGCCTAGGGTTTTTTGTTAATACCAACATTTTCTAGTCTAGTTTTTCGGCCATCTTTGTTTTCGTTGCAAGTACCGACACAGCGGAATCTTAAAGTAGAAGTAAAATAATAAATAATTTATAACAAAGGAAAATGTCTTTAGCTGATGAACTTCTTGCCGATCTTGAAGAAAATGACGACGCGGACGCTATTATGGAAGAGCCAGAACCGAAGTTTATTCCGACTTCAGTTTCTAAGATCTTGGAAGAAGGTTAGATTATTTAATAGTATGTGTAGTACAAAAATTGTTTATAATTCTGTTCTGTTTTATCCAATATAATTTACATAATATATTTACGTCATTTATATTATATTTCTAATATTACAATATATTTATTTGATGTAATATATATTTAACATACTGTATACTATATTTATTTTGTAATGTTTTATATACTGTAATTAATATACCAAACATGTTATATAAAAATTAATTTGTCTTTTCTTTGTGTAGAGATAAAAGTGTCCTCTGTTCGAGAATTGGCTCAGTTACGAGATTCGGAACAATTGCAGCAAGTTATAACACAGATTGAAAAGCATAGCAAGATACCTAGGAAGTCGACGGATATTATAGGACCTGTGGAATCTGATCCAGAATATCAGTTAATAGTTGAAGCTAATAATATGGCAGTAAAAATTAACAATGAAATAGGTAATTATATTGATTATAGAGATATTGAAACAAACATTCTATATCTAATGAAAAATAAATTAACAGTTTTATTGAAAAATAATATTTTTATAACATTTCATTAGTCCTTTGGCTTTTATTATTTTATTATACTAATAAAACTACGAAGTAAAAAAATAATATGTAGTAATAATGATGATGTAAAATATATAATAAATAGTGTTCTTATAATAAGAGTTAGAACAAACCGCCACCAGGCCTATTCTTTTTGGCAGAACTTTTGCAGAACCAGTTCATCTTTCTTCCTCTTCTTTTCTCTTGGAGAGAAAAGGAAGAAAGATGAACTGATGCAAAAATTCAGTCAAAAAGAATAGGCTTATTAATAGTCAAATACTACAGAGATTATAGACAAATAGCGAAATACTACTAGAGAAACTGTAGACGATATACAGAAAATATGACACGTCATGTAGCTGAGTTTAATTAAATGAGGATGGTATGAAGCTTGTTCTTTTTAAGTGAGCTTTTGCACTAGTTCATCTTTCTTTCTTTTCTCTTCAAAAGGAAAAAGTTCAGCTAAAAAGAACAGACCTATGATTAGAAGGAACATTCTTTAATAAACCTCGTGTAAATATTATACTGCCAGCGCTAGATAATGACGAAAACATGAAAGATAACATCAAATACATGCAATTTTCTGCAATTTGCTTGTAATTTGTTGGTTGTGTTGACTATTACAACTTATTTGAAACTAGCGATTGGCTATTACATATGACGGATTTCGGCAGTTAATTAAAAGTTGTGATCACATTGTCCTACACATCTTATTATAGGAACATTAATAATAAATATTATAATAATAGAAATAGTATAAAGTGCTATATAAAGTAAATAAAATTTGTATAAAGTAATACTGATCACATTTTCACATTTTTCAGCTGTTATACATAGATTTACAAGAGACAAGTACTCGAAAAGATTTCCAGAATTGGAATCCTTAGTTGTAGGACCACTAGAATATGTAATGACTGTAAGGGAGTTGGGAAATGATCTAGACAGAGCTAAAAATAATGAAATTCTGCAGCAGTTTCTTACTCAAGCTACAATTATGGTTGTTTCTGTGACAGCATCGACCACTCAAGGGTAACATTTAGATGCATAGACTTAAATGTTTTTAATTTTAAATTTTTGGAAAACAAATTTTTTTATTTAACATTCTTGTGTTCAAGTATTAAATGTACAATAAACATTTAAAAAAGATGAAACTTTAGGAATTTTCTAACTAATTAAAAACAGAATTTATTGCATTAATTTTCGTAATGTACAATTATTTTTTTTTTAATTTGTATATCTGTCCTCGCACAGTCAGTTGTTGACAGAAGAGGAGAGAGAAGCTATTTGTGAAGCTTGTGATATGGCGGTAGAGTTAAATAATTGTAAATCAAAAATATTTGAATACGTGGAGAGCAGAATGGCGTTTATTGCGCCAAATTTATCGATAATCGTTGGTGCATCCACAGCTGCCAAGATTATGGGTAGAGTATTACTCAAAATCGCAAATATATTTATATCAAAGTAAAAATGAATTTTTATATTGCTACAAATTTTTTTTAATTCAGGTGTCGCAGGTGGTCTGACAAAGCTTTCTAAAATGCCAGCTTGTAATCTTCTAGTCCTTGGATCTCAGAAGACCACACTCTCTGGATTTTCGCAAGTTGCTACCTTGCCTCACACAGGCTTTATATATTACTCTGAAATTGTACAAGAAACTCCCCCGGTAAGTTTATTTTCTTTTTTAATAAAGCATAATAAAAATTGGAAAATTAATAATGTATTGCGGCAATACATTTAATGTGTACAATGTTGCAGGATTTACGGAGAAAAGCAGCAAGACTAGTGGCATCAAAGAGCATGCTAGCTGCTAGAGTAGACGCTTGTCACGAGAGCACAGATGGTCACATTGGGCAGATGCTGCGCGAAGAGATCGAGAAAAAACTAGATAAACTGCAAGAACCACCGCCTGTAAAGTTCGTGAAGCCACTCCCAAAACCGATTGATCCTGGTCGAAAGAAGCGCGGCGGTAAACGCGTCCGCAAGATGAAGGAACGTTACGCGATCACGGAATTTAGGAAGCATGCCAACAGGATGAATTTTGCAGATGTAAGTTATAAATAATGTTCTCGAAATTGATTTATAAGATAATCTCAGAGAATGTATTATTAAAAATGATGTTGAGACAAATTCGTAAAGTGATTATATGAATAATAATAAAATATAAGATCAAAGATCGATTGAACGAGTAAGATATATTAATTATATATGATGTTTATTAGAAAAAGCCTAAAAACACAATATTTAAATGTTAAAATGTATTATTATTTATACTGTAGATTGAAAGTGATGCCTACCAAGAAGATCTTGGCTATTCGCGAGGGACGATTGGCAAGGCTGGCACTGGTCGAATCAGACTGCCGCAGATTGACGAGAAAACAAAAGTCAGAATATCCAAGACACTCCAGAAAAATCTGCAGAAGCAGCAGCAATGGGGAGGTAGCACCACCGTCAAGAAACAAGTCTCTGGTACTGCTTCCAGCGTGGCTTTTACTCCTTTACAAGTATGTTTCTTTTGATGTTTTACTAAAACATTAATTGTACAAGTGAAAAATAATTTTTTATTTTGTTTCTTTTTTTAACGGTTGTCTGTGTTTGCAGGGTCTTGAAATTGTCAATCCGCAAGCTGCAGAGAAAAAAGTGAACGAGGCGAATGCAAAGTACTTTTCCAATACAGCTGGTTTTCTAAAAGTCAAGAAAACGTAAATGTATATTGCAAATAAATGTGGGAAGTTGTATATTCAATATTGACTGTAAGTATTAATTGTTTAATTTATTGAGCAGAGTTGAAATATGGATGGATAATAATCGACTACTAAATAAAAAATGTACCTGTGATCTTGCAAACGATTACGAATCTGCAATGGAATGTATACATCATTTATCGCTGCGATGAAGACTGATATCCTTGAAAAACCAATTCACTCCTTATTTTTGTTGAATTCATACATATATTTGCCTATTAATTATACCGTGTAACAAAAACAATGTTTTTTTCACGTATGAAAAAATCGATGTGTCTGTGAAAATAGAAACGAAATCTATCATATAAGTGCGTTCTATTTTGCGGAATTTTTTTATGCACATTTGAAACTTAGAGGAGATAATTCGGTTGTAGTGCAAGATAAAATTGTACAATTATGTAAAAATCATTGTATTTCCATGTAAAACTTGTTACAAAATTCGAAAATGATAAAATTAAAGCGATTGTAGCAGAACAAAATGATTTAAAAAATGCATTTTTAATAAAAAGAATCGCTCAAATTTTTCAAATTTTTTTCTTAAAAAGTGCATCTATTTTTACAAACATATCGACATTTTTTTGTATATGAAAAATACTGACATGGTGTTAAGGCTCTAATTAATCATCACAGCCATATTGAATCATGACGTCAGAAGCGAGAAATAACATGTTAATTTTTATTACGTGTTACTTATAAGTAAAGACAATTTCGAAAGCAAACTGATGAGATTGCTTTAAAATATGTATTTTGTAAAAATGGATGAAAAAAACTTTCCTGACTCTTCCCTCCCTCCCTCGCCCCACCGACAGTCATTAAATAATAAAAAAATGATAAAAGCCAAACATGAAGCTTTTAATTTTATTCAATGCGCATGTGTAGCTTATTTTCACTTACATGTGCCTTTTATTATATTTTTTACGATTATTTACTGACTGTTAGGAGGGATAAGCATAGTTTTTATCCATTTTTACAAATGTTTTAAAGCAATCTCATCATTTTGTTTGATCCAAATTGTCTTTATTTATAAATGCCACGTAATAAAAATTAACATGTCATTTCTCGCTTCTGACGTCACGATTTAATATGGCTGTGATGATAAGGAACCTTATTTAGATAATAAAAAAGAGATTTGAGTATAGATTTAGGGTGATACCACAATTATTAGACTGTAGAAGTTTACAGTGTTACTTTCTTATTAGTTTCTAATTAATAATTTATATTGATTAATTTTAGAAAGTTGTTAAAATATGACCTACTTGATTTATGCATTATTCTGTCGCAATTCAACCATTTACTGGCATTAATTTTCTGTAGGGAGGTATAGGTATAGGTATTGCTTCGTCTCTTTATATTATATCCATACTTTACATCCGCAATAGAACGAAATATGGCAAAACCTTCGTCGGCGAAAGTATTCAATTTCATATCGATATTATTCAATAATAATTGAAGGCTAATTATAAATGGGTTTCGACTTGTATCGCTATTTGTGCATGAATGGCAAATTCTTTTATATTGCTTATAAATGAGAGAGAATGGCAAAATAAGAAATAGAAATATAGATAGCCAGAGATAAAGAGAGAAAGATAGAGAAAAATATGTAGAAATGAAGTTAATATAAAATTTATATAGTACAATTTTATATAAAATAATCTATACATAATTGTAAAATTGTAGAAAATAAAAATTTATTGATATTTTTTTAGAGTCTGTATATCTATACATGAACAACTGCAGTAAGTTATTGTATAAATACTTAATTTGAGATTTTTATTTTATTTTCTTTTTATATAATATTCAGAGATACATTATATAGAGCAACATAAAATTTATTTCAAGTCTTTATGGTAACAAGAATAGAAAATGTCACAAATACGTGACATTTTCAAGACTATTGAATTGTGAATAAAGATTACTAAGAACCACACCTTGCATACATGTTCTTCGACATCCGAGCTTGAACACTATTTCATTTTAATGACATGTGTTTACGCAATACATTTTATAAATGTAAATCGGTTTATATCGGGAAATGAAAAATTTGCATCGCGTGCTACGCCAGATTTCCGCATTTTGCTGCTCGTTTTCGAGATTGAGTTTGAATTCTATTGCATAAACTGTTGCTGTAAACGAACCGATTGTTACATGATTATTACTCATGTAAGTTTACAATTTTTTTTGTTTGTTTATCTAGTCTCACGTGAATTAATATAAACCATTATTTTGTTATATTCATGTTTCTATTACTTCTGGATTTTTTTGTAATCTTTATGCCACGAACAATAATGTAACCTGCACAATAAATATAATTAATTCTTATCTAACAGAAGTGTGAGATTAAGAAAAGTGAGTGATCGATTGAGATTTTAAAATCATTTTCTTCCCGATTTAAATGTGCTTGTAAAAAAAATTCATATCATATTTTTTTTTAAGAAATTCTAAAGAAATCTAAAAATTCTCATCAGGATAATGTATTTATAAGGAAGAAACGTAATACTGTATTCTCTTTTTAAGATCAGGATTATTTCAACAATCAGTAATGAAGAAACTTATCCAATTAATCGACTCCGCCAGAGTCTCTTCTGCTTGCTTTACCTTGGCCTTAAACTTGAACAGTTAGCATGTAGCACGCCATTTCTGAATTTATTTAGACTGAATCGATCCTATAATTCTGATTCTACATTTTAATGCTCCTTTCTCTGTTCTTGATCCAGACGATGTTCTCTTCCACTTTCTTTTCGATATCTTTAAATAAGAGAAGGATTATCGCAAATCTTTTATTCTTATGATGATGTTCCTCAAGTTCCTATCTCATTATTTGTTCTTGAATTTATAGGAGAACCATGATAGTCTTTTTTAATCAAAATCTTCCTGATATTCCAAACCTTTCTATTTTCTATAGATTGTAGAATGGATATTTTTTATTTCCTATCCTAGAACTTACTCAAGAGAAAAATGTTGACAAAAATAATTATTTTAATTACTTAATAAAAGATGAAATAATATTGTCTCTTATCCAAAGAGTATAACTTTGTTTTCTTCAATGTTTTTTGTTTTATTTCCTTAGAGCAAGAACTAACTTGCTTGGAAATTTATCTTTCACCATAAAGACTTATGTGAATAATCTTGCTTATATATGTGTCTACTGAATTTTTGGAATTTCTGTTATACAAAACAATCCTTTAATATTGATCCTTTTATTATTTTTCTAAATTGTTCTCTTTTAAAACTTCGAGTCTATCCATTCCTTCGAGAGTATCCATTCCTTCTTCACTTATTTCTTATGTGCTTCGATTATAAATATGTTTTAAGTACATCAACTATAATTGTTTCTCTTATAATGACGTCACGACAATCTTGATATGTTTGAGCTCTTTATGATGAATTATTTTGTTATGATGAATTATTTTGTTTATAATGAATTATTTTGTATTCATACATTGACGTTTTCTTCAACCATCATATCATTTAAAGAAACATGATTAGTCCGAAAAATTTTTAATTATAAATATAATTATGTAACAATTTCATTGTTGATTTTAGATAAAAAGTATTCTAAATAAAAGTTAAATTGAAGGATTTTCGAGAGCGATATAAAACAGTATTAAGTATTGTATCTTACAATTAGATATAAAAATTAAATTCAAATTTTTAATTCTCATTAGTTTTCCAGTCGAATTTCTGATTAACAAAGCCGTAACAGAAGTTGAAAGAACTTTCTCCATCAGGTCCAAATGCTCGGTGAAAGTGTTTCTTTTACACGTCTGCACGTGCAACACTGAATGTCCACTTCTCTTTGGAATCGTTTTTAATTCGAATGGAATGATAATATTGGATATTTTGAGGATTTTATTGGACATTGTCCTTATAAATTATTTTACCGAATTATTTTAATTTAAATTGATATAAATTATCTTAACTTAATTTATATGGTTAATGTTATTAATTTTTAATGTTTAAGCTCAAAGTGTATATTCAAGTAATTGATAAAACTAATAAATTATATTGTCAAGTATGTGCAATATAAATAATAGATCTATTAGTCGATAATAGATCAAGTAAGTTGTTAATCTTTATCTATACTTCCAATTGTAATGTGCCTGACTCGTAGAAGAAGGAAGGGGGAACCAAAAGTGTTATTACTATTTCGTTCTAGGATAATTGGCATCCATTGTCGATACCATCGGAGTAAATTAAACAAAGCGTGTCAGTGGTAAATTTCTCCGTGGGTGGAGAACCACAACTTTCGATCTCATTTTCCCATTGAATTCAATGCACTGTTTGGCGGCCGATTTATTGAAATTTTATGGAAGCGGATCGAACTTTCTTTTGTCAGGCGAAGGTCGTTCTTTTCACCGATAGTGATGAATTGCCAGTATGCATAACAAAATCGTTTCTAACGTCTACATATAACTAGTTATTTCGATAAATAATTAATCCTTATTAATCTCATAGAATTAATTAATAACATGTTGTATAATGATGTATTAATTATCTAGTAACATTATCTAGTAACAGTACATGCAAATTTTTAGATAAAATATTGTTATGTCATTATTTATATAAACTTTACAAGAATTCCTGTAAACCCACATCTTTGCTTAATGTATATTTGTCTTCAGAGTATTAGAATCTTTTTTAAAGCTTTACATTTATTTATATATTCTTTAAATATAAAAATTACTTTGAATTTTTTTCTAATACTTTATTTAAATTTTTTCTTAATTTTTTAAATGAAAGATTACTGAAGAAACATGTTGTTGAACAAATGTCATAAAAAATTGCAGTATATTATAAAATATATATATTTTTAAAATAATAAAATCAGATATTTATATATTTATTTTTATATAACTGTCGCCCGCGCGACTACAAACGACTGTAGTAATCTTTACAAATAAATAAATCTGTATAACAAACGAAACAAAGAAATATTATATTACAGCATTTTACAAATGCGGAAGTAAAACCTGTCGGGCGGGGCGGTGAGAAAGTTACGTCGCCCAACCGATGTATGAAATTTTAATCGAGACGTAACGCTTGAACGAAGGTGTGTCAATTTTAAGTGACAAGTTTCACGTGGCTATAAACAAGAAAAAAAGATCAATCGTTTTATATAACAAACGCGAAAATCTGATTACTTTATTTACGAGCGTAATTCTAAAATTAAATAGATTCTAAATTTGGGAAACATAGTGTTTTCATAGAAAGAAATGTCAAGACATTAATATCTTTTAATAAATTATAAGAAAAATATTTTTTTACAATTTTAAATTTCAGAGAAATAAAAGTACATTCCAAAATCTTAGTTTTCTCATGTTTTAAGTAGAACTTAATTTAACAGGATCTTAATCAATTAATTGGCTATTAGTTAAAAATAATTGGAATTAAGAAGTTAATGAAGATGACATTTATCTAGAATAATAAAACTATTGTTAAGAAATTTATCATTCTTATAAAAATGTAAAAGATTTCAATTTTCTTGAAATTCTTTATAAAAATTCAATTTCACTGATACATTTCGATAAATAAAGATCATAGTGTTCCTAACTGGCATTGATTATCGCATCATTTTCTCTTATGAATATTTTTTATCAATGAAATGAAGGATGATTTGTTTTTACAAATATCCAAATAAGGATATTCAAGTACAAACCGGCAAATGTAAATGTCGGTGTGGTGTTATATTCACAGTTATATAGTTACAGTAATACTTTCGACCTTTGCTTATGTTTCCTCGGCTGTACGTCGACGTTTAATGAAGCGAATGAAACTATGAGGTTCTTTATATAATCAAGTATAGAACCCCACTCTAATATTGTTAGTGACTTCTAAGAATTATGCTAGAATAATTAAATAATATTTATATTTTCGGAGTTTGTTAATATAAGTATGAAATTAGTAAAGTTTTATAAATATTGGAACTGCATTCAAATTTTATAATAGAATATATATTTATATCAATTTATAAGTAATTTCTATTTTTAGAAAGGATTCACACAAGATGTATTAAGAAATTATGTCATATATACAATTATTAGCAAAGATTGCGATGATCTTTAAATATTTAGATTTTTAATGTTTTAAACCATAAATTATGATATTATAAACTGATTTCGGGAACACTTTATATAAAAGAATAAAAAGAAAGGAATCTAGTTCAAATATTGATCTACTAGATTACGCACACGTTTTTATTTCACGAGAGATTGGTGAATAAAACGATTTTAGTTCTCACGAAAGTACTTGCTGTCATACATATTTATATTGACGCATCTTAGAAATATAAATATTGTTTGTTTACTTTGGCCCAATTATGGAGAATATTTATCATTGAAAAGGGAATTTTTTATTACACATTACACTTACCTAAAGAAGTTTACAGTTTCATTTAGTCACTTTATTATTGATCAATGTTTGGCTGAGGATTTAAATAAAAATTAGTACTATAAATAGTTATACACTGTAATATATTTATGAATAATCATATTGCGAATATTTTTTATCTCACAAAGATTTACACTTGTCGGCGTACTGACTCAAGTGAACAGCATAAATCATTGGTTACAAATTGGTTCCGCAACATTGGTTTATATCTTGTGTTATTTTATAGCCAATATTAAATTTCAATATTGAGCTAGTAGATATTTCTTCTTTACTAGCAAAAATTATTTTTTTATCCACCAATATATGCTAAAATATAATATATTGGACCAATTTTTTAAATAAAAAAAAGTATATATAGAATTTCTAGAGAAATGATCCAATAACTGGATATCATTATTTAATTGCAATTATATAATAAATCGCGCGTTTAATCAGTATATTAAATTTATTGCGTAATTACAATATGTATACAATATATTGTATTACAATATATATACTCTAGTATATGTAATTAGTAACAATATTCTCTGACAGAAATTATAATATTTCAATGAATAGTCGAAGCTCTGACGAATAAATCAAGTATAAAGATGCCTATGAGAGCCAATACTAGTTAATCGTATGTGAATTTATTGGTAAAAACATAAAATATAAATGTACATTTTATATTTTTACCAATAAATTGATCACACACGACTAACTAGTGATTTATAATATTTCAGTTTTTATCTGATATTTGTATGATATTATAATGCATTTGCATTCAATTTATAAGTGATGTTGACTTTAATATATCTAATCAATGTATTGCCGATGCTACGGAAAAACTGGAATATTCTATTTATTTTATTTGTTTCAATTTTTATTAATTCTTTAACAAGAGAAAAACAAGAATGTTCTTAAGCACCAAGTATATGAAAAGATTATTACGAATATTTTGATATCCGATTGTCCCCCTTTTTTATTAATTGTTAATGCTTGACTAGCCTATTAATTTATGATCCCACTGGAATTTACTTCACATTCAAATGCGATTGTTACTTTGCAAGAGAGGGTTTAGTGAACTCTAGTTATTAATAATTTTATCTTCACACTTTGTACACTTCCGGAGGTGTTTTTCACCCGTGTAACACATCGAGTTACCCGACTTATTTAACCACAATTACTCTCATTTGTAAGCGAAATATTACGACAGAAAACAGAAAAATTTAAATATAAAATATTATAGATGTCCTTTTTTTATTTAAAAATGAGATATAAGTATAATGATTACAAAAAAAGAAGATATGGAAAATTACTTTCTAACTGAATCATTCAATTTCTCATTTAATGATTATTAATTAGAAACAATTTTCAATTCGAAATTTTATTCCACTTAATTTCGTCATTTATTTTTTTGGAAATTTCTGTTTTCTTATTTTAAGAACGAAAAACTTTAAAAATAACGAAATGACTTCCATTGACGATTATTATTTCACAAACACAGAAAGAAAAGAGAGATTATGTATCTTGGTTCGAGATTTCACCGTTTTTAATAAAGATGACTTTTCCGATTTTTATCATCCTTTTCATAGAAATAAAAGAATTCAAAGAGAAGATAACGGAAATAAGTAAAAATGCTTTTATTGCAATTATTTATGTAAGACTATTAATTATTTATGAAATAACTACATAATTAAAGAAACGAAATAAATAATAATAAGATAATGTAAGTTTCTAGACTTGTACAAACTAAAGTACAAAAAAATTGGAAAAGTATTTGTATTTTAATGTACTTGTTTATTTTTATTTTTCTAATGATATTTTAACACTTTCGATAGTTTTAATATATTTCTCATACATATATTATTTGGTTACTTTATTTTTACTATGTCATTTCCAAAGGAAATGATTTTATTCTTTCTCGAAACTTTTAGAAAATGTATTTATTGAATGTCTTTGATTAAATCGGATAAATTAAATTGTTTTTGCTGTATATGTTATATATGTATAATTGCACATATCGTTATCCTTATTGAATCCATACAATAAGATGCTCCATAGCAGTAAGCTCCTTTATCTGTTTATCTATAGTTGCATGGTTGAATAGTGGAAAGTTAAAGGAAAAAGGAACGACACCGGAAAGGGCGTGATTCGCTTTCTGCAAATGGATCCGCAGGCTGATCTTCCGGAATGATCGACAGATCAGATTAATGCTTAATTATGCATTCCCATCCTATCATGCATCTTGCATTTAATTAAAATGCGATCTTGATTCTTCCCCGCAAGATATATTGAAGAGTACATTTTGCTTCCTCAACAATTACGATCTACAATTACGCTTTCCTCGCAATTGCGTTGCAAAAATTTTAATATCATGGTCTTCACACGTGGGTGCATTTAGTTTTTTCTTCTGCGTTTTGAATGAAAAGGATAAGGAACGATTGCAAAAGTTTTTATTCTCTATGATGTAGAAGAATATGAGATTCGCTTAAACTATAAATTAATTAATCAAGAAATCTTTTCTTTCTCCTAATTATCTCAGTAACTACTATAAATCTCACGAAGATTTCAATACCACGTAATAACTTTGCAACATTCCCAGTTAGAAATGAGCCTTTAACGTTAGAAGACTTATAGGAAAGACTTATAAGAATGTTTTGTGTGGTGCTATCTATCAATAAGCTTATTTTATTTTATTATTAATTGCAGAGCTTTTATTATTGTTTGAGTCTTTTTAAGTCTTATTTTTATATTTTATGAAACTCAAAACAATATTTATTAAGACCTGAAATTGCTACATTCAATCAAGTTTAAGGCTTTAATTATATATATATATATATTAGGTGTTGGAATTAATTCGTAGCGTTTTTATATGTAATTATATTTTCTATGACTTATCTTCTTAGTGAGTATAAAAATAAAATATACTTTACTTGATTTTATATAAGTTTGATTTCTTTCCAATAATTCTTTCGTTATTAAAATTCACTGGCAGTGCAATCAAATATACTTTTAATTAACAAATGATAGTAACACACAAAAGTTTGTTATATTATTTTAATAAATTTGAAGGACTTCTGAACAGGTGCATCCTGCAGAAAAAGTCCGATGATGCAGACGCGAGGAGTCTCCCACTACCTTGAAGAGGACCGAATCCACTTCATCTGGTGGAGGCAACTTTCAGCGAAATACGCTATATAAGAGAGTGACATGTCGGCTGACCAAGATAAAGCACGCGTGTGTTGTTAATCTTTTGCAGTATTTTATCCGTCTTGAATTGAACTGTCCTAGTATTTTCGTCAGTGACAGGTAAGTGAGCTTTATAAAAATCAGTGAAACTTCAACGAAATATATTTTGAAGAACTAAGGGATTCTAGCCATACATCATTGTATTGTGTTGATTGTTATTTGTTTTTAATAAAGATACTCGACAAAATTTGGATTCTTTAAATTTTGTTTATATAAATTACAATTGTGTTAATATAAATTGAAATTGTAAAGATATGAAAATAAACTTAGGCCAGTTCTATAACTTACGGTTAACTCATAGCCTAGGGGGGTTCAATTTATTCATTGTCTCTTTCCAAGTTTAGAATTAGAAAAAGATGAGAAACAAGTTGAACCTCAGTTAAGAGCTGACCATGAGTTGTGAAACTGGGCCTTAGTAGTTTTGCAATATCATTTATACACAGATTTATATTTATTTAAATTTAATTTTGTTACATTTTTCTACAATAATTAATTTATTAAAATCTAAAAAAGTTATTTTTTTATGTTATTTACATTTATTTATTTTTCTATTTATTGATGTACGTATTTGAATTTATCTATATAAATAATTATTTTATAATTATTTCTAATTCTTTATTAGTATAATAATTATAATGTTTTCATTATATATTTATTATATTTAAAGAATTTTTAGCAAAGATTATTAGAATAATTTTAATATCTTGTGTGCAAAAATTTAGTTTTAACATTAAAATTTAACATAAAAATTAAAAGTAGAAATTTAAACTTTTGCTTTTGTTTTTCATTTAAAAAAATCTTTTACATTTAAAAAATATTTAAATATTAATTATGATATCGCACGTTCTTTTCGGTTATCATTTGTATTAAAAATCTCGTTATGTATTCCAGATTTAACATCTCTTTTGTAATTAATTTTAAAAAAGCAAAATAGGTTCTAAAATATGAATTTTTTTATTTAATATCATTGTCTTTCTATTCTTAGAGCTAAAATTTTTTTAAATACTTTTTTTATTAACATTTAATTAAAATATTAAAATATTAAAATGTATTATTCTATAATAAAATATCTATAATTTTTTCTAATGCGCCAATTTTTACTTTGTGTTCAAATTTCTTAATTAATGAAGTTTTCCTTTCTTTTGGAAAAATTTCAAACTTGTAAAATTCCATATAATGAAATTTAACACACTTAATTAACCCTTAAGAATGCGATCGGTATTTAGGGTTAATTACTGTACTATCGAGATAAGTGCAGTTTAAATGCTCGACTTCCTCTTATCTTGCAACCAAATGATTTCGCGTTGCACCCAACCGGTTCTCGTTGGTCTCTCGCTAGGCACGTGTCATAATTCCTGTTCCACCGTGCGTGACCGAGTTAATTTTATAAAATTCTTGGAGTTGGCGGACTTCTGAAGTCTCTCAATATGAGTCCCTCGACTTGAAACAATGTTACTATCTTAGAGAAAGTACTTCTGTAACATGCTATTGCGTACGTTTGAATTCACTCATATTTCCATTTTTTCTTTTACACATTCGCGCATGCCACATGCACGAATCAGTTCTATTAAAAAGTTGTGATAAAAGCTTTTGTAAGCTTGTGTAAATTGTATATTATATTGAATTATATCAATATTTAGTTATTAATATTTGATAGAAGGACTAATGCAATGTTTTGCTTAAAATACTTACATTCATAAAGTTACAATATTCAATATACAATAGTCTTAACTTTTTCTACGATTTTTATTCTGTTGGTCTAAATAAATTTTAATTTTATTAAATCTCTCTCTCTCTCTCTCTCTCTCTCTCTCTCTATTTATAGCTTTAGTTTAAATATAAAAAAAATTTTAACCAATTTTAAATGTCACATAGTCAAATCTATATTATTTTTAATTTAAATAAAACAATATGTAATATTAATATACATTAATTTAGCAATATTAAATTATAATATGTTTTCGAAACAACAGATAAATTTCAAGATAAATTTTTTTAAATTTAACCGACAGTGAAACTGCTACCTTATTTTTCACTATTATTATATGATATCTTCATTAAAAATCGGATTGAAACTTAAAGTGAATTAATTGTTAAGTTTTTTTATTCAACAAATTCTGTTGATATTAGTCTAAAACATATTGTAGTGTGTAATCAATTATTTCGATAAAGAGAGATAAGACGATGAGAAGCGGACTGATTGGCGTATCATATTTAGCGAGGAAATTATGGAAAAATATTGCCTGGCGGGCGACTATTTGAGATTTCCTTAAACCAGCTGGTCGAGTTATGCGTATTACTCTATATACAGCCGCCTTTGATATAGTCACCAGGCAACTATCTCTTTTTCCATTATGCAATATATTGCTTTCTTTACGCGGCAGCCGGAAAGTCAGTTGCTGCATGGAGAACGCCCTTCTGGTTAAATATACATGAATATGTAATAAAACAGAGACTTTGTTAAAAAGATTATTATACATCGCGCCGGAAATTATATCAATAGTAATAATCTCTTGCTCTGCGGAGAAAGTTTTCGAGATTTTCTTAATGACGAAATTGGAGAAACCGATCGAACGAGCAAAAACGATTAACTAGAATCAACGTTCGGTCATTAAAACGTGATCAGATTCGAAAAGAATTGAATTGTATTTTGTGCATTTAAATTGCAAAAATATAAATACATAAGAAACTGCAATAATACACACGCTCAATGTGTAATAAATGTTAATGAATGACGCAAATGTAGCATATATATATAGTGCATGAAATTCCGTCATTGAAATTACAAGAATTCGGAAATTCTGTATACATATTCTGTACCTGATTCTGAATAATATTTATGCACAAAGTGACTGGAATAATGAGGGCAATTGAGAGTCAACTTGATATACAACGCGCAAAAATGTAAAAACAATGTATGATTCCATGGATATAATAATGGAAATAATTAGACGTTTTAGCTCACCTTTGAATCATCCTCAGTAATAAATTTTATTTATGCATATTTTTATGAATATGTTAATGAAATAGAATAGGATTTATTCTCTCAGCATTTCTATAAAATTAAGAATGGACTTGGTTTACAAACTTTGTTCTTATCTATCCATACCTTTCTCACGCGCACTCCTATTTTAATTGCTTATTGCACTACTTCCTGTCTCTCTTTCTATCGTTATTATTATTCTTCTATTTTTTATTTATGTCTTAAATTTATTATCATAGTTAATATTCGTATAAATATGTTAATATTAGAATGATATTAGATCAGAATCAATTTATATATCTAATAAAATATTTTGATATTTATAAATTTAGAGAAAGTGCCTATCAAATAGAAGAAGATTAATTGCATCTATGAACGGTGACCATGACCTTGATAATTTGTATAAAAATCTATACCTGTTTCATAATCTTTGACATCGTTTCAATCATTGTGTCGTTTATATGGAGATGTGAACTGAACTTTAATGTAGTATTATGTCTCATGTGCCTCGTCGAACACATACATTTTTGCACACAACTCCTCTCACTTTCACTTTGCTCGGATTTTAATCAAGATCTTAGCGAACATAGCTGGAAAAAGACCGGTACAAGATTTTCTTTAAATACGATATACACATACACACATTCCTTTCTTTATTTTTGTTGCATCAACGATTATTAATTAATTACTAACTAGGACTCTTAATGTTACAACACTTCGTCAATTAACTAAATCATTTTTAAGGTGATATTGATAGTTTTCGAATATCAATAGAGATTTTCTGATTAAAATGTCGAAGTTTTATTAAAGAGTACTAAAAACTTTTCTTTTAATGTAAATGTAATACACTATATTACATATACATATACTATATTACATACACTATATACATATATTTTATACTGTAAAGTTAATTAATAATTTAAAAAATCATAAATATTTACTTGTTTGGTATGTAGGTTATAAATTTAATAATTAATGAGAAGGAAAAAAAGAAAGGCGCTATTTGTTAATAGAAACTTTATCTATAAAATAAAATAGTATAATTTTGAACATGATACAATTATGAACGAAATAAAATTTGAATTTAATTTCTTGGCTTTTTCCTATTTGATATCTTTTAATATCCTCCAAAAAATGAGATCGGAGTATCAATTTGACTTCCCTAAAATTGGATTTAAATCTTATTTCGTTCAAAATTATATCATGTTTGAAATTGTATCATCTTACCTTACTTTACTAGTTTAAACTCGCTGAGATTATTTAATTATCGCTCACATAATATTCGTATTACACAATACGTAATTACTTACAGAAAATTATTTTGAAATCTGAATGTAATTAATAACAATGTCATGAAAGAATACTCGCATCAGAGATCTGAAAATTAAACACACAAACAATTAAAAGTTTTGATTTCTTAAATTGTATAAATTACAAGACACCTATTAATTAAGTTTAAAAAGTATCAATTATATATTATAAGTATGTTTAAAGAAACTTCATTAACATAATGAAGTTTCTTTAAACATACTTATAATATATAATTGATACTTTTTAAACTTAATTAATAGGTGTCTTGTAATTTATACAATTTAAGAAATCAAAACTTTTAATTGTTTGTGTGTTTAATCTTCAGATCTCTAATTAGTTTTGATGATTTATCTCTTTGTAATGATTTTGATGATGAACCTATTCATCGTATGATATTAATCTTAAATCTCTCTCTCTCTCTCTCTCTCTCTCTCTCTCTCTCTAATAAAGAGACGAATCCGAGTTTGCAGAAAAATGGCGTTACGCAAGGCGTCATATTACATGGAAAATAGCGACTTACCTTTGACTTATATTTCTTATGTAACTAATATTGCCCTTTCGATTCGCTTACAACTTAGTGCGCGCGCGCGCCTTATAGAATTTATATTGTTTCTGTGACAATTGAAAACACGATAAAAATATGATTTTATCTATATAACATTATGTGTGCGGTTTTTATTTTAATTTTATCATTTTCGAAATATATTTCTATAGAAATTTTTTGACGAAATTGATGACAATAAATTTTGCACATATCTCAAAATTTTTTCATTAAATATATTTGTTAAATCAAGTCTTACATTGCGTTAAATACAATATTTATCAAGTCTTTTTTTACACTTCCTATATATTATATGAAATTAAATGACTGCAAATCTCGTCATCATTTTAACATTTATTATATCTTGATATTCTTCCCTTTATTTTTGTTCGAATGCGAATATTTGACGGTGCGATAATTAAATTAGTTCTGAATTAATTATTTCCTGAAATGAAAAAATGCGGACTGCATTTGTAAAAAATACATCATCTGAAAGCGATTTCAAGGCAAAAGGAAATTTGCTCATGATGCCCACGTGATTGGTTATTAGTAAAGTTTGAATAAGAGCAGAGAATTGATCTTGCAAGGAGCAAGTGCGAGGAAAGCGTGTTACTTTCTATGTGTGCAAAACTCGGACGGCGGTTTCACGATCGGTTAAAGCCATTTCGGTCATGACGATGACGGCTCAACAGGCTCAAGTGCTTTCCATAATAATTCTCGAACACGGCATGTGGCATACATGGAAAGCTAGTTTCTAATTGCTTTAGTGCTCGAGCTAAGTGACAAGAAAACGAGAGATGATAATAAATGATATTAACAATTTTTATCCATCGTATTGAATGTTTAACGATAACAAGCTCTTAAATTCTTATATTTTTGTATGCTGTCAATCAATTCTTAGGTTTTTCTCTCACATTTATATCTTCACATTTCTCTCATATCCTTAAGCAGTCTAATTTAACTTCTTGAATTTTACATACTTTACATAGTCTATAGTTTGTGAATCTTCCAATTTTCTAAAAAAAAAAATATATATGTCAGATACATAAAAAATATTCAAAATTATATATAAAAAGTAATAAACTAAAAAAATAAAACTTGAACATTAAAATATGAATTTAAAGAGATAAGTCAAAATTAAAGAGATAAGATTAACTTGCAACTAATCGAGTAATTGTTTATAAATGTTATTATATGGGTTTTATTATCTGAAAATTATTTGTATCGCTCGATACAGAACAGATAATGTAGTCAAATTAAAAGCGAAAGCGAATTCATTTCAAAGAAAGGATTAAATAATGAATCCAGTTCTCCGATTAGATGTTATTTATTGCTAAAAAAAATTAATTTGTAATACAAAACATATTAAAGATATAGAAGTTTCTATGTGTATCTGTGTCACTGAAAATAGGCTTAAAAATTTTGACTTCTGAGGAAGCAATCCGCTAATTTTTTATCTAATTTTCTTCAGGATATTTTTTTTTGCAGACTGAACTTAAAATAGACAATTAGAAAAATATTACAAAATGTAATAACACAAACATAAAATAAATTTGCGATATAAATATTTATCGAGGGATATCCGCTACCGCGTCTCATGGTTTTTTTAGATTATCGGGAATCGTATGAAAGGAAAAGCTTTGTGAAAAGGACTCTCTCGGGCAATGACCCTGATAGTTTAAACTGAGATACGAATTGGATTGTAATCGTATGCCAGCGCTATTACAACAGCAAAAAAAAAATTTATTTGAGAAATCGCAGCCGCGTACTGCTGTACTTTCTCGCAAATCGACGTCTATTAAATTCGTACGCACGTACGCACGCACGCGCGCGTACACGCAAGAGAAAGTGATCTTGGCCATCGATATCTTCAAAATGCAGCCATTTGTATCAAAAGGCCGCACAATCGAAAGTGCCATCGCGTTTAATGGATTCTGTTCGAATCAAAGGTATCGATTAAGCCTATTCAGAACTTGATCGGCTTAAACGTCATTGAGAGCCGATGATCTCAGATATTCGCCAACTCTCACGTAAAGAAACGCAATCTAATTTCGAGAGATCAATAATTTTATCCTCTATACTGATAATAATTAAGAACTATTAATTAGTTTTCATTTTTTATTTTAATTCAAAACGCGTGAATAATTCTCGATTGTGGAAATTCGGACATGTCATAGTTGTCATAAATTAGTATAATCATATGGCACATTATGATTTGAAAAATGGGGAAAATTCTCTGATAAACACTTTTATAGAAATATAAATACATATAAAAAAAATAGTACAAAAAATTTAAGTATAAAATTAAACTCGCAATATTTTAAATAATTAATAGTTTCTTCTCTGTTTACTTAGATAAATGAAACGTTGTATTTTATTCCAGGCACTGAATTACGAGCATTTTCCGTGTTTTGCAGAATGTATTGGGTGTTCCTAGGATTGCTCAGTACCGCCATTGCGGCGCAGAATTCTTACGACTTAGAAACCAGAGCTGTTTCATTTCCCGGAAAGCCAAGTAGCTTAGGACCACTTTACTCGCCCGGCTTAAGTTCAGCCCAGGGATTCCGTGATAACAGTTACGAGGATAATGCAGTGACACCCACGCCGTCGTCGACGCCAATCTATAGGAATTCTAATCAACAACCGGTGAGTTCAGAAATTGTATGCATTTATCGCGTGCTGCAAAATTTTATTTTTATTAAATTCTTTATATTAAATTGTACGCATGTATTGCAGTTGTATCGCAAACCAACGGCGGCACCAATAGACAGTCGCGATTACACTCAGGCCATCCGCGTTGGTTCTTCATCGCGTGCTACCATTCGAGGCCCGCAGTCCCAGTTCGGTCCTGATGGACCTACTAAGGAAGAGCTCGAGGAGGAAAAGGAGGAACCTGATCGTCTTAGCCTTCTTCTACCTCAAAGCAGATTCGATTGTGTCAACAAGCAGACCGGCTACTACGCTGACGAGGACCTCAACTGCGAGGTCTTCCACTACTGTCAAGACAACGCTAAGCACTCGTGGATCTGTCCTGAAGGCTTCACTTTCCATCAGGTCAGTGAACCAATTATAAATGTCCTTTCTTATTTATTCTTTTAGTATCTAAGAAATAGAGACATTCCATTAATGATGATTGATTGCTGTTTGTTTTTCTGTTAAATCTAATTTACTAAGAAAATTATCACTTACGGGTTTAACTCTGAAATTAAAATATATTTTACTTTATCACTTTATCAGGTACATCTAATCTGTATGCCACCCAGCGGCGATATCAGCTGTCAGAAGAGCTCACAGTACCATTTCGTCAATGAGTATTTGTATAAACCGCTGAATCTTCAAGAAGCTGAGACCAAACCCAACGTTACTTTAAGATACAGTGAGAGGTATTACCCCTCTGATATTTATACGGATGAAAGGGAGGTTGGTGATTATCAGATCACTCCTACACCTGCCCCGGTGCGTCGTCCTGCTCCGCAGGTGTGTTTATCATCTTGGAATTATGACAATTACACTTCAATAATTACAATTAGAGACCGTAAAATAGAAGCTACAATGTCTCTAATTTTAGAATTTTAATTTCTTCAAATCTGAGTTTTAAGTAGATAATTTATTATAATTTAAAATTTTTAAGATTTTTGTGTTTTTTCTTTTTATTTGCAATTTTTACATCTTAAAAATTATTTAATTATAAAGTTACAAAAATTTTAATTAAAGATTTACGTCACGAATGTAGATCACGAAACTAAGACTTTCTTCTGAGCTCTGAATATTATATAGGCAGATCTTTTTATTTCGTCCACTACTTCTACTTATTCATGATGAATATGAAATAAATTGTATGATCTTCTTTCGATCGACTGTATTGACACGTTAACGGTTAGGTCTTGTACAGGTCCTTGTGAGTCCACAGCCAAGTTTGAACAGTATCCCCACGTCGGCCCGTCCACAGCCTACAGGATTCCCGCAGTATCGTCTCCCGATAAATCAAGTATTCCGCAGTCCCGAAGAAGTCAACATTCCCCTTCAGCACAGACGGCCGCAACAGCAACAGCACCAGGTTCTCAGACGGTTTCCTCAAGTTCAAGTTCGACCTGATGAAGAAGAATATGAATAGATTCTTAGATCTATAAATTCTTCAATTTACTCAAAAATTATTCCGTCTCTTCCTCAATTTTTTTTATTCGTTTTGCGAAGTCAATGAAGAATTGCAGCATTTGACATGCCCGAATTTTTCCTTGAATAATTAGTGGTTTTTTTTAAACTATTATATATATATATATATATAAATGTTTATACAAATAAAAAAAATAATGAAAAAACTAGCTGCAAAAGGGACGATTTTCTAACATGTACATTTAAAAAATGTTATTAACGTTCATTTGCATAAACAGTGACAAATTTATCAAAAGTTTTTTATTTTGCAAATTCTCATTCTGTAACATTTTTCTAGCAATATCCATAATTAATAAAAATTAGTATTAAGAAACAAGAATAAATCTTGTTAAATTAACGATGCGCCAATAATTAGCATGTCTTTTTTTTTAAATGTTTATATAAGGCTGATGCAGAGATAATTTAATTCGCGGTGCAATTATTGTATGAAAGTAATTTAATTATTGTAAATAAACCGTCAATAATAATCATATAAATGATATGCTAAATTTGCCTCTATTTATAGTGTAAATTGACTTAAAAATTCATAAGAGTGAGAGGGTGGCCAATAAATTGTTATACTATTTTTAATTGCATCTGTATTTTCTATATGGATTTCATGTTTTATTTATCCCATTTAAGGTATATAATTGTATTAGGCGCCATATAACCAGTATTCTATAATCAGTCTTGATTTGTAAAACATTTCAATGAAGATTGTAAATCGTATCTATATGTATATGTATTGCAATGATTTAAGTCAATATAATTTATATATAAAAAAGTAGAAAGGACGATATCTTGGTTCAGTCATAATTTCGTTAATAAATAATTTTAGAATTGTAAGAGAGAAAGCTTTACTATAAGAATTTTGTATATTTCTCGCCATTTTATATTCCACCTTACATTTCTCTGATGAAAAAAATTCTTATATTTTGAAAATTTTTTTTATTTTGTATCATTTAAGATATCTGAAAATGTACCTCAAAACTTCTTCAGATTTTATAAATTTTCAGAAAGAAATTTTAGTGAGAAATTTTAAAAATTTTAGAATATTTCAGAATAAAAATTCTAGAAAAGACGTGTAGATTGTCTTCTGAAAAGTGTTTTAATTCGTATAAAAAATCTAAGAAATTTTAAAATGTCATATAAAATTGTACAGAAATTCTGAAATATTCTAAAATTTATATAAAAGTTCTGAAAAATTATGTAATAAATTTTTCTAAGAAAAATTTTCATCAGAATTATTACTGAATTTACTTCATTCTGACTATAGGATTCAAATGAACCGATTTGTGTGAGATCAGCATTGCTTCAGTGTCTCCGCAATTCTGCGTCTCCAATGCATGTCGCTTTGTTTCTTTCCGCAACTGTTCTGAGAATCCTGTGGCAGTGTATGATTCGTTGTTGTATCCAAACTACTATTATTCATTGAATTTATGTCCGAACATTCTTCCGACTCTATAGTATGCTTCTTAATTGTAGAGACGCAGTTAGATTCTTGGAAAGAAATCGATTCTTGGCCAGAATCCTCGTGATCCTTGAAATTCTTCCTTTCTTTGGAATGCCTTTCATCCTCGTTTTCATCGTGGTTGTCCTTTTCTTCTTCGCATCTTATGATTCGTTTATTGTAGACATCAGTCGTGGAATTTCTTTGATTCACTGTCACTCTTGGAAGAAGTGTCTCAATTTGCGAGGACGTAGAATTGTGATTTTCTTGCGGCGCTGGTTTATTGTTAGGATACGAATTCACTTTGGAGTTCCTGTCCTTAAGATAGTTTTGCACAAAGTAATTGTGGCTGTTGGCACTTTGCGGATACAACTTCTCCTCGATCCGACAGTTAAGCACTACTGCTTCAGCGATCGGAATCGGTTCTGTATATGTAAATATCTTCCTATCGGTCTTGTCCTCCAGCCGTCTGATGTTGATGGGTCCGTTGATCACTGGTACCGCGTTACTCACTTCACTGGTAGCTTTTATTACAGGCGTGATATTGCCCATGGAGTCAAGCCGTGAGTTGATCTGATCATGAGAGCTCGCGAACGTCGTGACTACTTTACCAGTATTCTTCGACTGTGTCTTCTTCGACCTCTGTTTCTGCCGTTGTTGATTATTCTTCGCACAAGATGGGTCCGCTTCAACGACTGGCGTTTTGCTCATCTCGCAATTGTCTTCGGTATGGTGGTGCCTGATATGTCGATTCAGGTTGTCCTTACGTCTAAACAGTGTCTGGCAGTACTCGCAGGAAAATGGTTTCTCGTCTGGAAGAAATGAATTTGAGACTGTCATCATGTAAAAATAGTATAATATTGGATTAGGGAAAAAGTCTCTTTACAAGTTTGTAAAAAGATCTTTCCCTGTACATATATCTTCATTAAAATGATCAAAATTTAAATTTAAAGAAAAGATTTTAAAAGCTTGAAATCTCTATTTTCGAAATAGTTACTATATTTTTTAAATTTATGTGAGTTTTGTAATTTTTATATTACGTGTTGGAATTAATTCGTAGCGTTTTACAAGTGATGGGAAGTACTTTCATTAATGTATTTTTTAATGCTCATGTGAAATAAATAACATTCTTTCATTAAAAAACGCTACGAATTAATTCCAACACCTAATATATAGAAAACTACAAGCTGAAAAAAATGAAAAATTTTCTTTTTACTTTGTAGGTTACTCTATAGCATGCCTCTAAAAATTAAGCAAATTTTCGATCTATTGTGAAAGCTTGAAGCTTCCCCTACAAAGTCATTTTTTAAAAATGTTTCTACGATTTTTTGTTCCCAAATTACTCGCGAATTAAGTAAAAAGAACATTCTAATTTTATTATTTGTAATTGAAAATCATATTGCAAGTTTGTAAGTTAAAATCATATTGCAATTAAAAATACAGATTCTTAAAGCTGAAACGTTACTCTATTAAGTGGTAATTGCCAATTTTTAAAAATAGAATATATGAGTTGCTAAGCCTTTTTACCAACTTGTAAAGAGACTTTTCCAGTATTTAACGCACCTGAATGCACAGGTAAGTGCCGTCTCAATTCACTCTTTGACAAGAAAACTTTATTACAGTGAGCGCAAGAGAATGGTCTTTCTTTCCCATGGGTCCGTTTGTGCCGTATTAACAAAGATTTTTCTTTGAAACTCTTGTTGCACTGATCGCACCTGTGCGGCCGTTCGCCTGTAGTAACAATCATTCATTATCATTATTCTTTTGAAAATCGAAAAGATGTGATAAATAATTTTAGGTCATATAATCATTAAAGTAGATTTAAAAAATAAAACTTTTGTTTAAGCATAACTTGGACAAAATTCATGAAAATAGAAAAGACTTTTCTAATACTTACTGGTATGCGTTTGCATGTGGCGTTTCAGATTAGTTAATATGCGGAAAGATTTGTCGCAGGACTTGCATTTATATATAGCCGTCGAATTGTGTATGCTTAAATGATTCTTTAAATCATCCTTTTTGCTATATCGTTTATTACATTCGGAACATGGAAATTGTTTCTCTTCTGTAACATGTAATTAACATGCATTATATAAATGCATTGAGTAGAGTTTGTATATTATTATTATTTGAAATATTATCTTAAATAATTATATTTTTGAAATAGAAATTTTACTTAGTAATGAAATCATTAATAAAGTTTTTCGAAGATACCAGAAGGTTTGCGGATTATCGCTGTGTTTAACCTTTTAGTATCTTTGAAGATAAGCCGTGAAAGCCTAAAAAGCTTTATAAAATTCAGTTTTTATTAATATTTTGTGCTAAATATCTGAAAATTAATGATAGACATTTCGAATATTTAACTATATTTTGGAACATTAAAAAAATTTTTTTTAACATTTCGAGATTATACTAGACAATTATATTCATCCTACGAAATAATATATAATGATCTGTAAGAATTTATAATAAAAAATAGGCGATATTGTTGAAAAAAAAAATGATTTTGATTTATTCATTTAAAGAATTTACTTGAAGAGAACTTTTTTCTAACTTTGTCCACTCCACAAGCTAAACAATTCTATGAAATTAATTTTTCGAAAAAATGATTATTCAAGATAACATTTCAAGAATGATCATGAATCATCTTGTATATCATTGTTATAATTACGAAAAATATTTATAATCTCTATGTTCAATAATATTAAAACTTTCATATTTGTTATCTAATAATTTATTAATACCAGGGTTGGGTAAACTAATTAAAACGTTAACAGTTAAAAAAACAGTTAGAAAGTTAATAACTTTTAACTTAACTTAGTTAATTTTAAATGCATTAATTTTTAACTTAATTTAGTTACTTTTAAATTTTAATTTATTTACTTTTTTTAAATTAAAAATTGTTCTACCTCTCTTAATGCTAATATTTTTTTTTCTATAAAGTCTTAATAATAATCATTAGAGAATTAATTTAGAAAAAATTCAATGATGAGAGACTATAATAAGAGTTACATCATACGGTAGCTAGTTTTTATTGATTCACTAGGTTTTGTCAATTCCCGCTTATATTTGAATCACACTAATTTTCATAGATATCATAAATGTTATATTTCAGCAACATAAATATGAAATGAGTCTTAGCTGAAGAAGTGTTGTACTACACATCCACTCATTTCCTAAATTGTTACGTTTATCTTTGTAACAAATATCTAGTCGATATAGTCGTAAACATGCATGAGCAGTCGTTAAAAGTTAAAGAGAAAATTAGATAAAGGTTAAAAGAAGAGAAATAATACAATATATACCCTTCTCTCTTGTAAGATTCTACAAAAACGTCTTATAGTGTGTAACTCTTATTATATATAAGTAACTTACATGTGAATATAAAATTAAATTTACCTAATAATCTATATTTGTAAGTAATTACTTTAAAGTAATCTCATTATAAGAAAAATTAGGACATTCTGATCTCAAAAATAATTTTTTTTAAACTTAAGTTAATTCAATCTTAACTTAACTTTTACTAAGTTAATTCTTTATTCCTTGAATTTTTAACTTAATTTCATTAATTTTATAAGCCATTAACTTTAACTTAATTTATTTAAAAAACTAACTTACCCAATTCTGATTAATAATGACATG